GGGGGGGGGGGGGGCAGTCAGCCAGACCCTGAGATAAGGGAGGGGGCGGTCTCCAAAACTTGTTTTCGGCCCCTTCAGGCCTCATTTTGGTCTAAAAATAAGGGGTTGGGGGAAGGACTCCCCAGGCCCCTCCCCTGTATCCCCCACTGAATTATAAGTATTTCTGAAGTCCAGCAGATTCATAGTCAGAATCAAAACTTCTCATTCCATACACGGTTTAAAAAAGCATTTTTATTGCAATATGAGGGCCACATTCTCATGGCCTTACAGTAGGCATATGAACGCAGATCCGCTGTACATAAACTTGGAATTTGAGCAAGTGGCATTCTCACGGTGGTGAAAACTGTGTTAGATTGTAGATACGGTGTCCCTTAACTTATTTTCCTTTGCTTTTCATGACGTTGCATCGCAAATAATCATCCTCATAGAACACGTTCGCAATTTAGTGGTCTAAAAAGAAATAGCTGATAGATATTTGCGAGACTTGTCTTTCTAGTTAATTGAATATAATTAAAAGCTTCCATCAACCCGGGCTGAGTTGCTCAAAGCATGGTTAGCTTTAACCATTGGTTAAGCAGTATCAAAACCAATACGTTGTCAAGGTATTAAACGCTGGTTAACGCTAACCATGCTTCGAGCAACTGGGCCCTGGTCTCCAGGGCCCAGTTGTTAGAAGGCCGATTAGCGCTTAACCCGGGTTTCTTTTCCTTGTGTTCAAAAGCATTTTCTCGGATAATTTTCTGTGCTATTTTTAGAGCTTCCAATTATCAACTTCTAGACAAAAAGAATTAAAACTGAAATGCTTTCTAAGCTTTCAAATCTGAATTCAAATCTCGCACTAACCCTGGGTTATCTTTACCCAGCTTTGAACATCTCAGCCCAGAGCTTTTTCCTTTGAAAATGGAAGGGGATGCCCTGGGGACGAGGTTGGGCTTCCGTATTTCGTACTTCGTTACAAAGAGCGAGGATCGAACTGTACAGATTTTCCCTCCCCTCCCTATAGATCTTTTTTGCAGGGGTGGGGTGGGGAGAGCAGTGCACACCTGGCTATTGGGGAATTCTCCTCTCATGTATACGGTAGTTGTACTTTTGTTATTTTATACTTTGATCTGGTAATTATTCCAACTAGGAAAAATCTTTTGCTACTTTTATCTCAAGGCTTTGAGAAACCAGTTGTCTATAGTCAAACCTCTTTAATACGGACACCAAAGGGACAGAACCAAGTGTCCGCTTTACAGAGGTGTCCGTATTATAGAGGTAGGGAATGTAGGATTTTTGGCATTTCTGGGACCAAACGAACTGTTCGTAATAGAGAGGTGTCCGTATTATAGAGGTTTCCGTAAGGAGAGGTTAGACTGTGTATCTTTTCATTTATTCCCGTCTTTGAGCATTATAATGCTTCGCCATGTCAATTTCACCCTCTGATTCACCCACTTTGTGCTCTGTTGTCGCTGTTCTACTGGTGTTGTCAATATTTTTGTGCAACAAAAGCTGTTTTTCTGTGCCTAAAATATTAACAGTTCAACTGTGTATGTTGCTCTTTTCTTGTTGCAACAGTAGACAAATCTTCTGATGCGGTAAAACCCTAGACTGAAAGATTTACAAGGAAAAAGAGATGGAGAAAAAATATTCACTTCTAATCTCACTGTGATTAATAATAGTAATCTAATTTTCCTTAATCTCGGGGCCAACTGCCGGAATTTAAATACAGGCTCTTTGTCACTTCAACATGTTTTGTGTAATAAAACAGCATACTCTGATTTCTGTTTATTCCGTTGGTCTGTTCAATTTTATTGTATTCTACAACATAGCAAGGGTAGTACTTCCATTGACAAATACAAAGCAGCAAAGCGATCCTAACAACGAAGACAAGAAGATCGAAACAAAACAGAGTAAATATCGGTAGTTAATTTCTTTTTGTGCCCGATATTTTTGTTTGAAAGGGACGACGCAAAAAATATAAACATAGCTTATTTTGGTCTTCAGTCAGGAGTTCCAGCTACTGAACTCATGGGGCTCAGTGAACTTTGTTAGGTTCTGAGAAAATACCCACCTACCCTTCACCTAACAAAATATTTTGCCCTAACGTTGGGTTAGGGGAGGGGAGGGAAAGAGGGGTAGTTTCCCAGAATACATGCTATTTCTCTGGCAGGTGCTGGGCAGTGAATTTGCGCTGCCTTAAACGTTATCGCGGTTATTCCATCTCGTTTTATTCGTCAAATGTTGGTGAATTGTTTTGGAGTTGAATTCGAAAGGATTGTATCAAAGTTCAGGAAAAGAAAAGGAAAGTTGTCGTCTTGTGTTTCGTTACTTTCACGTTGTAGTCGTGCAACGACAACGCACATGTAAAGTTGTTGTCTTGCCAATAAAACCTATTTCTTTTTTGCCGTTCTCGTTGCCGTCGCCGTCGTCGCTGCTTTAACAAGCTCTCTTCTATCTGAAAACACTCGAAGTCGCCAGGCATTATACGAGAGGTGGGCACTGTGGTGTAACGGACTCCTACTAGCAATCATTCAAATACACAAAAGCGTTCTTTCTAGACTTAGTGATATGTAGCGCAGTTTTGAAACAGTTTTTCTACGTTTTTCAGTCACACGAAAATCTGTCACCTCGTTTGGAGATGACGGGTTGCTCAAGGCGAACACGTGACCTTGTAACTCTCAACGAATGACGTCACGTCAGCGGGAGTTGGAATGCGCCTTCTCATTCTCGCAGTAACTTGGATGGTTTCCATTTTGTTGAGAATTCCGGTCACATCTGAAGGTGTATAGAGCCTCACTGTTACAAAAGCCTTGGAACTACTCATTGCAAATACAACAGGATTATACGTCGCTGAGATGGCCGTGGTTGAAGCACCGGTGGGCGTCTTTGTAACCAGTGAGGAGTTCACAGATATATCGAACGCGCCTTTTTCCCCGTCGCGGCAATCCACGCAGTTGTAGTCGATAACAAAATAAAGACGCAGTGTCCTTCCGCATGTCAACAGACTGTACCCCTTTCTGCCCTGTTGACGAAGCCTAAGGTTCTTGGCGGTGACCAGTCTGGGCGATATTCTCTGGAATGATTGTCCCATGGCTGTCCTCCCAGAAAGCTTGAGCTTAAAGGGTACCAAAGGTGGGTTGAAGGTGCCCTCCAGGCTGGGTGTGGCCAGTTCGACATTGTCTGGTAACTCACGTCCCCATTTGTCAATGAGAGTCACTCTCAAGGAACTCAGATTGAGGCGGTTTCTCGAAGGGATTAGAAGCTTTACCTTTGCGTCACTACCTGGAAACAAAAGCAAACGAAAAACAAATTTGTCTCTGTTTAGAGCAAGTTCTACGGTAGCCCTACACTATTTATAGTAAAATAAATATCACTAGCTACCTACTGTATACAAAATGTTGCTTGTATCTAAAAATCTTACGCGTCTCCTTTCGGCTGGGGCACTAGCGCGACGTCTCCCGAAACCCCCAGATGGAGTGCTTGCTCGCAAGCTAATTCCTATTATGTCTTTGTTTTTGTTTGTTTGTTTGTTTCTTTTTTTCGGGAGAATTCAGGTATATATCTTCCAGATTAGCCTCAATCAAACGCAACGCAACATTGATCTTACCAAGTAAAGGGTATTGCGCTACATAGTCGTGCCATTCTCCTCCCAGTTCCTGTCCATCAAAGAATAGGTAATCAAAGTCCAAGTTGAAGGCACTGGTCGATTGAACCTTGACAGTGTGTGTTCCAGTGTTAGCTGGGAAGACGAGCGACCAAATGCCGTGCGTTGGTCTCTTGATAATCCAAACTCCTCCCTGGGCGAGATTTTCTGTTCGTGGCTGGGGCAAGCGAGCGGGATTTCGAAGTTCCACGCGATGGGGATCATTGAGGCGATATAAGTAACAAGAAGCGTTTCGATAGTATCGTCCACCGGTATTGTGTAAGTTTTGTCCCTTGCCGAACGCAAAGTACGACCTCGGCTTGTAGTCAAGCGTCCTTCAAGGATCGTCGTCGTACCATCAAGAGCCAATGCCATCGCTTCGCTCATCTTCATGATCTCGCCCGAGGAATTAAACTGCATTGCGAAACCTTCTGTCTCGTCCACAAGCTCTACGAACGCTTCATGTCGTTGGAAGGTCCCGCAGGATCCCGACTCTGTACTGTAGAAAAAATTCACGGGTATCAGGTTGTTCATGACTACACCAAGGGCGTTGTCAAGCGTGTACTTGGGTCCCTCTCCAGGTTTCACTCCTGCGTCGGTTAACACAAACATAGGCGAAGTAATCGCTGGTTTTCCGATTTCAATAGCATCTATTATCCCGTTGAATGCCAGTTCAGGGCAATCCTTGCCGCCGAAAGCCGTCAGCCGGTCGAGAGCTGATACAAATGAAGACTCGTCTGAGAAACTCATGGTGTTTCCCCAAACTGTGAAAACAAGAAAATTTTTTTGTTAACCTTTCTTATTCATTCGTGAGTTTAAGCAAGCGCGTTTTTGAGTGACGCACGCCAACCGGAAGTGAGGCGTTTTTGAGTGACGCCCGCCAACCGGAATTGAGGTGTTTTCCCCTTTAATATACCTTGACCAGCCTCCTCCTCAGGCGCTTCGTTTTTCGCATGGCAGAGGGGAGCGCGAAACGAGTGACTGGTGATGAACCGCAAGGGACCATGGGAAGGGTACAGACGGCAGGCGAAGCTCGCCCGTTGTCTCCTTCCCGCCTTCCTTTGCGCGCACATTTTCATCAAAAGAGAGACGTCTGGGTACGAGGCAGTACCTTGACACTGCCAAATGCGTAATGCTTGGTGTCTTTGCTGTCATAGAGACGACTTGCCCAAAAATTTAGGCGAAACCACTGCCGAATTTTGTAAAAAGTCCACTTCCGATTTGACGTGCGTCGCTCAAAAACGTCTTTTCTTAAACTCCCTAAATTGATTGATTGATTAGATATAGGCCTTGTCCAGAGTCCACACAAATCCGGGTATTTTCGCTCCATCATAAAAATTCAAAAACAACGGTCATACGGTAAAAAGCGTATCGACTGAGTTAATACGCATTTTATGCGGTCGGTCCGTACGTTCTGACTTCGAGCCAAATATTTTCCCGTTCAACCCTCTCACTCAGTCAATTAGTACATATTATGGAACTCCTGTCCAATCACAGACTGCGAATTTCCTTGGCCATTCCACCGACGCTCTTAACCTTTTAAGCCCCAATATCCACATGCAAATTCTCCAAACTGATCTCCATACATTTCCTTTAAGAATTAGTTGAGAGAATTTGATAAAATATCCTGGCATTTTCTCTTTGATGATCATTTTATTAATTTTCATAACTTTATCTCTTGAAAATGTATGGATTTTGTTAGGAGAAAATTGTTATTGGTCACTATTGGGACTTACGAGGGTCTCCGTATGGTGACAGAATATACTGGACAGGGGCTTTCCTTGGATGAGCTGCAATGGCCTTAACAATCCTTTTTGCCGCTTCGATCTCATCTCCCATACTACCAGTGGTGTCAATCACAAAGATCAGTGACACATTGCCATCGCGCCCCAGTAGGGTGTCGAGGTCATCGCCCAGAATTTTGCGAAGCTGTTTGAACACGTTTTCGTGTTCGGATGGTGTCTTTTTGCAGTGCTTTGGTAAGCGTCCGCAGGGGGCTTGACTCTTAGGACAGTGGCACTCCGGACGGAACTGTAAAAAGCATTAAAGGAGAAAAAAAAGGTCATTTATCTTCGTCTTTATTTATAGATCAGTATCAGGTAACGCCAGGTCCAGAAGGCAAACAGTTTTCATTTCCGATCATTTACCCTAACACGGCCAAAAGGTGATCCTCAACTCGCGACAGCAAACGGGAAGGAAAAAATGTATCACCCATTAATTTCAAAGAGGGACGCTTGAGGACGAGGCAGGGACTATTATCAGTTAAGTTACTATGGTCACAGTGACTTTCATCGGATAGAATTGTTTGTGACGTAACCGAGAATAACTCCATTTTCTGCTCCAAGTTTAAAACACTTCAAGGCTATCTCCTAGTTGCCCATTCGACTGAGTTAGGAAAGCCTAAATGTTTGCAAACTCAATAGTTTTGTTTATTGGATCTCTCTACAATACTTACTAGATGTCCAACTAAGTTNATCCTCAACTCGCGACAGCAAACGGGAAGGAAAAAATGTATCACCCATTAATTTCAAAGAGGGACGCTTGAGGACGAGGCAGGGACTATTATCAGTTAAGTTACTATGGTCACAGTGACTTTCATCGGATATAATTGTTTGTGACGTAACCGAGAATAACTCCATTTTCTGCTCCAAGTTTAAAACACTTCAAGGCTATCTCCTAGTTGCCCATTCGACTGAGTTAGGAAAGCCTAAATGTTTGGTTTTGTTTATTGGATCTCTCTACAATACTTACTAGATGTCCAACTAAGTTTAATGCCTTTGGGATTTCATTGTCCTTGATAGCATTTCTGATAGACTGCTTCAATTTCCTTCTTCCTCTACTAGATAAACGCCTGGATTCTCGCTTGGCTTCATTCATTCCTGATAACGAAAAGAAATTAAGCTTTTCTCTGATCATACAAGCGTGGTAAAAACTTTGTGTTTAAACTATTTCGTATGAACAAATTTGTCATGTTTCATTTGTGGGCGTTTCGTCGTTTCTTCCTGAGCGCTGAGTTAGAGAGTTGTATTGCGGCTGATAACCACAACAATAACGCAAAAGATAGGCACTTAACGACCAAAACAATGTTTCACATCCTGCACAGTTTCTGTCCTTTCCTAGTCGATACATTGATTTCCTTTTCTCTGCAGAACTACTGCGTAAATTTTCCTAATACCACGTTTTCATCGGGGCCGGGGGGGATACTCCCTATAATGGCCTAATACTGGGAGGCTGCGCCCGAAAGGGCAGTCGCCCCGTTTGACAAATTTAACTGGTCGGAATGTACCCGATGAATTTATAAACGACGAGGAATTGATTTTAATAGTTATTCTCGTTGCCGTCTTCATTGTGTGAGCTCCCAATTTTTGCCTTGGATTGGAAGCACTGTGTTAATTTTTTAAAGGTTTGATGTGCATCAAATAAACGCGCAATAAACGCACCATCTTACCTTTAATAATTTGCATAGATGCTCCCCAGTACTTGTTATTCCTCGGCGGGGAAATAACCGCCGCTGAACTACCACTGCTTCGACCAAGATTTCTCCCTCGCCTTTCAGCCGTCAAATATTCTGCCGTCGTTTGGTCCACGATGTCGAAGAAATCTACATCTGAGCTTTTCGATGACCCAAAGAATAGTATCGCAGCTAAGGTGAACTTCATGAAGCCCAGTAGCCATGGCAGCGCCGCCTTCCTCATGACTAGAAGAGATTTGTAGATACCCTGGTAGCGCAACCCTGATCGCACACACTTTTACAATGATTGAGAACTGAGTCTCTTAGTCTAAGTGCTCCGTGCTATGGTGTAGCACGTCTTAACATATTTAACCTTAATGGCCTTTTATTGGGTTCAAGCGCTGAATGTAACCGACACCCCTTATTAAGCTAAAAATAAATGTTTACTGTATTTCCTCTCCTTCAAAGCGGAACTTGGCTCATCTAATTGAGCTGACGGACTCGTTTCCGTTGGTTGACAGACTTTTGGAAGTATCAAAGGAGCCGGAATTTTAACCTCAACTCAGTTTTCCCGGGGGAGATGCTCCCATACGTGATTAGGATTGTCTGCGTGATCTATTGTAGGCGGGATGTGAACACACGCGTGTGATCGGGATAGTCTTCGAGGTGCTTAGGGTAAGATCCCTTTTGGTGAATTAGGGTAGCTAAAATCAGACCAGTAGAAAGAATCGATTCGAACTACCCAGACTACCCGTCTTCGCTTATTTAAAGCCTATTCACTCCAAGAAGTGGCCGAGAAAAAATTCGCCAAAAATTTATATTTTCTTTTATAAATATCCTAAGCAATAATTAATAGTAAAATGGAAAACGTCTATCGAAAAGGTAGGCTGCTAAAAACAGCCGTCTCTCTTATATTAGCTCCTTGCCTGCAGGGACGTTTCCCCCCTGGCGAAATTTCCCTAGAGGCAAACGGCTGTTTTCGCAGGCTGCCGAAAAGTTTTCATTTAATTTTATTGGTAACACCATCATCCTTTCGTCGCGGCAGCGGTATACGCAATTCTAAATCGGGGGGGGGGGGGGGGCACCCCCCTTTACGCCCCTAAAGGGGCCGGGGGCCCCCCCGGGGGGGGTTTTCGGGGTTTTTTTTTTTAAACAGGGTCGGCGTTTTTCCTTATTTTTTTTTAAACAGCACAAAAAATTTTTTTTTTGTCCATGTCTCACCTTA